CGCGACCCCTTAATACAGTTCCTCATGTTGTGGTGACCCCCAACCATAAAATTATTTTCGTTGCTACTCTATAACTGTAATTTTGCTACTGTTACGCATCGTAATGTAAATATCTTTGTTTTCCGATGATCTTAGGTGACCCCTGTGAAAGGGTCGTTCGACCCCCAAAGGGGTCGCGACCCACAGAGGTTGAGAACCGCTGTTCTACTCCTTTTGGTTGCATCTTTACTTGGCCTCGGGTATTCTTCTCCCATGCATTGACTGACCTGACTAACGGACCCTCTGGAAATCTCCAGGGTTCATTCACTCTTTGCAGCTATCTCTCCTCTTCTGTAATTGGCCTTGAAAACTCTAGCCTCTGAATTCTCAGTTTAGGGAGACCACTGGCTATTCCTGGCTTCCCCTTTATTGTATTGCATCTCCAAGTGATAAGCTGGAGCAATCATAGTGGTCGGTCATTTATTTCCTGCCTCACGTGTTATTAATTTCCTGCCTCTCAGAGATCACCATCCTTTTTGCCCCATGACCAATGTCTCGATATATTTTCCTCCCAGATTTTAGTTGTTTCAGGCAGGAGGGTACATCTGGTGCTTTTTATTCCATCTCATCTGGAATTTGAAGTTCCCACAGTTAATTTTTAAGACTAAGATGAAAAATTTTGTAAAGGATGATCTAGTTTCTAATAGTCAAAATTTACTGATAAGCTTGTTCAGGGAGTAGGAATTTAATCCAAAAATGAACTTTAAATTTTAAATTTAAATCCAAGCACATTAGCTCAGTCACTGTTTCCAAGCAAACTTATTCCTTCAACAAATATTTGAGAATTCACTATGATGTAGGCACACTTCTAATTGCTGGGGATTCCAGCTGTAAACAAGACAAAATCCCTGCCCTTGTGGAGTTCACATTCTAGTGAGTATGTTTTTAAAAATGTTAATGCAATGTATTTGCTAATTTGTCACAGTCTTTTTGCAGAAAGCTTACAATAAAACTAAGGGATGTAAAAATTCTAAGGAACAATGAAAAACCCAGGCATACTCTCAGCTTGAATCATGTCAACAAATTAGTAACCCTTAATCACAAACAGTTGTGTAGTATCTGTGGGCAACTTTCATTCAATTCTGACATAAGCTTCAGGAGGAAAGAGTCCTGCCTATTGGCATTTCTCTGTTATCACCAGTGCCTAATATGCCTTCTAGGGTATAGCAGGTGCTTAATAAATAAGTGATGAAAAATTTCACGGTGCTTGTCCCAAGTGACCTTGTATTGGTTCCTTCAGAGGCATAACTGATAGGGCGGAGCTAGCTAGGACGCACCATGAGGGTGAAAAGGCTTTAGTGCGACACATCAGGACGAGATGGACATGTGACACGAAGCTGGCTGCTCGTCATCCATTGTCAGTTCTTTTAAATTTATATCTGGCAGGTGAGAGCTGACACTTCCTGCCTTGGTTTCGGTTCCTGACATTTTAATACGGTTGGTCCAAGTCCCTTGCCTCGATTTCCCCAGGTGAGGACGAGGAGGAGAGATTACGTAGCTTTTAAACTTTACTGTTTTAGGGGTGTATGTGTGATATATGTGTGTGATATTAAATGAATATGTGCAAATATATGGAAAACGTAAATATGCAAACGATATATGGAAAACGTGGAAGTGTTGGGAGTGTTCAGGGACCCAGGGTCCCTGGCCCGCGTACACCCACCCAGCGGGGTGCTCACCCAGGTGCCTGGGTGTCGAGCCGCTGGAGCGAGTGGGAGCGAGCGGGCGGGGTGGGGGCTCAGCACGCGTCCAAGGGGCTCGGTGCAGCGGCGGGAGCCGGGAAGCGCAGCCGTCAGGAGATCTGTGCGTACCTTCCGGCCAGCTCTCGCTCAGAGTGGCGGGGGCGTGGCGCGGCGTGGCGGGGGCGGGGCTAGGGCGTGGACGGGCCAGGAGCGCCAGGGGCCTGGGCGGGGCCTGGGCGGGGCGGGGGCGGGGCGCACGGCCACCTGACCCGCGCGGGTATTAAGCGGCGCGGAACCGCTCGCCGCCTGAGCTGGAGCTTCCCCGCGATCCAGTGACCCGGCCAGCTGCCCAGAGGAGCCGCCTCTCCGCCCGCGCCCGCGCTCCGCCGCATCTCCGCGTGTTCGCCCGCCGTCCGCCCGTCCGAGCCTATCCCAACCCCGGCCACCGAGCGCCATGAACCAAGTCGAGCCCGGCGTGCAATACAACTACGTGTACGATGAAGACGAGTACATGATCCAGGAGGAGGAATGGGACCGCGACCTGCTGCTGGACCCTGCCTGGGAGAAGCAGCAGAGGAAG